TTTCATCCTCTGCCACCCTCCTCCCCACTCCGTAGTGGGGACTCTCAGCCTTTTTAGAGAAGTCAGGTGATTCTGGAGACTGGCTGGCGTAGCGCGCAAGATGAAGGACAGTGTACGGCCCCTCGGGAGCCTCACAGCCTCCCCAGTGACCTTCTCTGTTAGGCAGGACACACTTGGGGACTGCTGTCACCAGGAGGAGGAGGAGGGCGAGGGTGTGCAAAGCTCCTGGGTGCAGATGGCCCAGCTCCTCCCAGCGCACCTCTGGGTGCCGGCTTCCCCCAGGTGGTGCAGCGGCGGGCCCTCCCCTGCCTGCGAAGCACATGGGAATCGGCGGCTTGCTCAGGGGAAGCCTCTCACCCTCCATCACCTTCTGCTGCCTGTCAAGGTCAGAAACTTGAGGGGTCAAAGCTGCTGACTGGGCTGGGGGCCTCCTTCATTCACTCCTTTACACTCGTTTCTCTAGAACTAGTGGCAGGGTAGACGCAGGGATGACAGGACCATGTATGTCCTCACTTCAAGACAACAACATTGTGAGAGGGAAGGCCAACATCACACCCATTTCAAGGCAAGGATTTAGAAAGCATCACATGTGACTATCGACTTGTTCCCAGACTCTCTGAGCTCTATGAACTCAACAGTGTTTTCCAGGTGAAGGATAAAGTCATGCTTAGCACCTCGGGCTGATTCTGAGCAGCTCTCCTGGAGCATCTGTGGGAGGCCAGCGACAGTCACTCCTGTAGGTGGTGAGCAGGAGGACTGGATCTGGACGCAGCAGGGCTGCTGTAATCTTGCAATCAATTAAAATGCTGAGTTTATTCCAAGAAGTACTTGAAGTCACCTCAGAGCCAGAGCGTGATTTTTCCCCCTTGTGTTTACAGTTGAACTTCTCCGACTTTAGCTTGCACTGTCCCTGAATCCATAATCGTATTTTTTTTCCTTGTCTCACCATGCCATCAAAAACCGCACACTGGAGGGCCCAGCTCCCTTCCTACCAACTGCCTACCCAGCACGCTGCTGGGTCTTCAACGATGCATGCTCCACATTTACTGCAAACATGGCAAGACTGCCACAGCTTTTAGCATATTTCATTTTTACACAGAATCACTTGCTTTCTCAAGTGTTGAGTCAAAGTGTTAAGTGAAAGTTGACGTGTCTGTGAATTATTTTTAAAAGCAAATCATAATCATCCCACAGGCTGTGAGGGACCAAACTTACCATAAAATTCCTATACCCTTTTCTAGAAAGACCTATCTGGGAAAATGTAAATAACACAATTGAAATTGCTATATTTCTTCATTATATATTTACAATTAACAATCATATTGTTATTAACACTGTTCTCAGAATTTCTAAATTACATTGTGGATACTAAGGTGGCTATTTAACAAAAACCTCACAAATG